GGGTCATGTGATCAGCTGCTCCTCGGGTCATGTGATCAGCTGCTCCTGAGTGTGAACTCAGAGGAGACCGTGCTTCTGCTGCTGCAGCTCCTAAACTGTGGAACGACCTTCAATGAACATCAGACCTCTGTTTTTAAATCCTTCTTAAAACCGTCTCTGACCCCTGACCCCATCTGAGATGTTGACTTTAATTATTTTAATTGTTCTTTATTGTCTGTTTTATTATGTGAACAGCACTTTGGTCCTGTGGGTGTTTAAAGTCTCTAAATAAAGCTGGTGTTACTGGGCTGGATGTGTAAATGGGCTGAACTGGGTCAGTGTGTGGAAACTGCCATGTAGATGTTTACTGATAAAGAGAAGAATCTTCTAAATGAATCCACAGGTGTCACTCTGCCAAACAGTACATGTTAAAATGTAGTGAAGGTATTTGTGTGAACTGCTCTGTGAGAGTCTGAAGCTGAAACTATGATCCAGATGTTCTGGTTCTGTCACGACTGCCTCCTCCTGGAAACAAGTCGTCTGGTTTATCCAGAGAAAGATGAACTCTGTTTCTGTTGAAGTTGGAACGATGAACTGTTTGGAGTCCATGACGTCACAAACAGAACTACAGATCATCCATTTCCTCACAAATCACAGTCGAGTCCGTCTGTTCCTGTTCTCAGGTCCTCCTGGAGGAGTCTGAACATCGTAAACTTTTCTGGCTCTAACAACATTTGATTTGTCATCTTTATTTAATGTGTTTATTTCAGTAACACCCTGGATGTTGCTTATTTGTTTGTTTGAATTTACAAACCATTTCCAAAAAATTAGATCATCATGGAAAAGTTGTTTAACTTCCATAATTCCTTTCAAAAAGTTAATCTTTAATAGATGATCGATTCAGGGCCCACAGTTTAAACTATTTCAAATATTTATTTGTTTATTTTTACATAATTTGAGCTTCCAGCTCATGAAACTCACAAAAACAGGATTTAATAATAAAAAAACGGATTCCAAAAAAGTTGGGACACTAAACAAATTTTGAATAAAAACTGAATGCAATGATGTGGAGGTGCCAACATCTAATATTTTATTCAGAATAGAACACAAATCACAGATCAAAAGTTTAAACTGAGAGAATGTTTCATTTTAAGGGAAAAATCTGTTGTTTCAAATTTCATGGCGTCAACAAATCCCAAAAAAGTTGGGACAAGTCCATTTTTACCACTGTGTGGCATCCCCCCTTCTTCTTCCAACACTCAACAGACGTCTGGGGACAGAGGAGACCAGTTTCTCCAGTTTAGAAATAGGAATGCTCTCCCATTCATGTCTAATACAGGCCTCTAACTGTTCAATCGTCTTGGGCCTTCTTTGTGGCACCTTCCTCTTTATGATGCACCAAATGTTCTCTATAGGTGAAAGATCTGGACTGCAGGCTGGCCATTTCAGTACCCGGATCCTTCTCCTACGTAGCCATGATGTTGTGATTGCTGCAGAATGTGGTCTGGTATTATCGTGTTGAAAAATGCAGGGTCTTCCCTGAAAGAGATGACGTCTAGATGGGAGCACATGTTGTTCTAGAACCTGAACATAGTTCTCTGCATTAATGGTGCCTTTCCAGACATGCAAGCTGCCCATGCCACAAGCGCTCATGCAACCCCATACCATCAGTGATGCAGGCTTCTGAACGGAGCGTTGATAACAACTTGGGCTATCCTTGTCCTCTCTGGTCCGGATGACATGGCGTCCCAGTGTTCCATAAAGAACTTTAAATCGTGACTCATCTGACCACAGAACAGTCTTCCATTTTGCCACACTCCATTTTAAATGACCCCTGGCCCAGTGCAAACGTCTGAGCTTGTGGAGCTTGCTTAGAAATGGCTTCCTCTTTGCACTGTAGAGTTTCAGCTGGCAACGGCGGATGGCACGGTGGATTGTGTTCACTGACAATGCTTTCTGGAAGTATTCCTGAGCCCATTCTGTTATTTCCTTGACAGTGGCATTCCTGTTTGAGGTGCAGCGACGTTTAAGGGCCCGGAGATCACGAGCATCCAGTAGAGTTTTACGGCCTTGACCCTTACGCACAGCGATTGTTCCAGATTCTCTGAATCTTTTGATGATGTTTTGCACGGTTGATGATGATAACTTAAAAGTCTTTGCTATTTTACGCTGGGTAACACCATTCTGGTATTGCTGCACTATCTTTCTGCTCAACAATGGTGGAATTGGTGATCCTCTTACCATCTTGGCTTCTGAGAGACACTGACACTCTGAGAAGCTCTTTTTATACCCAATCATGTTGTCAATTGACCTAATTAGTGTTAATTGGTCTTCCAGCTGTTCATTATGTGCTCAATTTCCTTTTTCCAGACACTTATTGCTACTTGTCCCAACTTTTTGGGGATTTGTTGACACTGGGAAATTTTGAATCAACATATTTTTTCTTTAAAATGTTACATTTACTCTGATTAAACTTTTGATCTGTCATCTATGTTATATTACGAATAAAATATTGACATTTGCCATCTCCACATCATTGCATTCAGTTTTTATTCACAATTTGTTTAGTGTCCCAACTTTTTTGGATTCCGGTTTGTAGAATACTGTGGAGTTATGGAAGCCCAGATTTCCTTGATGCTGTCAGATCTTCTTTGTTGTTGCTCTGGTGCTCCTCATGTTCCTCTTGAGAAGACCCCGTAGATTCTCAATGGGGTTTAGGTCCGACCAGTTGGCTGGCCAGTCAGGCACTGTGGCATCAAACCAGGTTCTGGTGCTTCTGGCAGCATGGGCAGGGACCAGGTCCTGCTGGAAGATGAACTCTGCATCTCCATACAGATCCTCAGCAGAAGGAATCATGAAGTCCTCCAAAACATTCTGGTAGACTGTTGCGGTGACCTTGGATTGAAGAAAGCAGAGTTTACCAACACCTGCACCGGACACTGCACCCAGATCATGACTGACTGTGGATATTTCACACTGGAACTGAACCAGTATGGGTTCTGTTCATCACCCTTCTTCCTCCAAACCCTTGGACCTTGATTTCTGAATGAAAGACACTTTACTTTCATCTGCAAAGAGGACCGAGGAACCCAACAGTTGTAGTCCATCTCCTGGATGAGTCTGAATGTGGTGGTTTTTGAAGCTATGACTCTGCCTCATTCCACTCTTTCTGGATCTCTGACAGATTCTGGATCTTCTCTGTTTGATGATCCACTGAAGCCCACGGTCATCTCTGTTGCTGGTGCATCTTCTCCTGCCACATGTTGTCCTTCCACTAGACTTTCCATTGATGTGCTTGGACACAGCGCTCTATGAACAGCCAGCCTCTTTAGCTATGAACGTTTGTGTCTTACCCATCCTATGGAGGGTCTCAATGATGGTCTTCTGGACAGATGTTCTGTCTGCAGTCTTCACCATATTGAACAGAACTGAGACAATTTAATGACACCTGGGGAAACCTGTGCAGGTGCTTTGAGTTTAGTAGATGATTCGTGTCACACTCAGTTTAAAACATTCATGTCCTGCAACATCTGGACTGATGTCTCCACAGTATTATAATTTTTTTTAATCCTGTTTTTGTGGGTTTCATGAGCTGGAAGCTCAAATTATGTAAAAAATAAACAAATACTTGAAATAGTTTAAACTGTGGGCCCTGAATCTATCATCTATTAAAGATGAACTTTTTGAATGGAATTATGGAAGTTAAACAACTTTTCCATGATGATCTAGTTTTTTGGAAAGGGTCTGTGTATTGATAACTGTTGTGTAATGTTTTACTTTTAATAAAGATTAGTAAAATAAAAAATGCCGGGTAATGGCAGCAGCTGAAGGTGCAGCAGCTGAAGGTGCAGCAGCTGAAGGTGCAGCAGCTGAAGGTGCAGCAGCTGAAGGTGCAGCAGCTGAAGGTTCTGTGCTTCTGTTTCAGCTGAGATCATCGAAGGGAAACGGACCACGAAGACGGTGGAGAGGCTGGACTTCCAGGCGCCGAAGGCGAAGGAGAAGCTGAAGATTGGAGACGGTAAAGGAGCGATGAGCTCCAGGTGTCCGCAGCAGTCCGTCCCTCTGACAGCTGGACCTGTTTACAGGTGGGGGAGACAAACTCGGAGACATCCCTCGCACCAACTACCAGATCACCAAGATGAAGCCGGCCGACCTCAAGCCTCTGCACAACATCCTATTCGACCGGCCCGGGAAGGTCCGATCAGAACAGAACCTCTGTTTGAATCTTCGGCTCAGGTCAAACTAAAACCTGACTTTGACTTTTTGTCCTTCAGACGGCGTCCATGAAGAAGAACCTGCGGCTCTTTAACGGCTTCCCGTTCAGCGCAGACAGCCCGCAGTTCAGCAAGAAACGAGACAAACTTCTCAGGTACGGTTCTGCCGGGCCACGTTGGGACCGGGTACGGTTCTGCCGGACCACGTTGGGACCGGGTACGGTTCTGCCGGGCCATGTTGGGACCGGGTACGGTTCTGCCGGGCCACGTTGGGACCGGGTACGGTTCTGCCGGGCCACGTTGGGAGCATCAGAGAACATCCTGATGTTTAAATGAGAAGTTCTGAAGGTGTGGAGCACACTCCTCCTGAGGGGCTGCAGCCTTCCTGGGGGACCACACCCCCCAGGCAGTGGACCACGCCCCCAGACATGCAGCGGGAGGAACCCAAGGTGCCGGTCCTCGTTGCAGTCTGGATGATCCGGAGTGGCCTGCTCGTGTTTTTACTCTGTAAACCTCCAGGTTTTCTTTCTGTCAGGAAGTCCAACTTCACCAACTCCAAGCTGAAGGAGGTCTGCACCGTTCTGGACCTGGAGAAGAAAGGAACCCACTCAGATCTGGTGGACCGGATCCTGATGTTCCTCGTCGCTCCAAAGAACAGTGGGAAGGTGAGCCGTCGTCAGCCCGAGTCCCACTGGAACCCAAACGCTCCTCATCTTCTGTCTGGTTGTGGTTGATCACAGCGTGTTCCTGTGAAGAAGAAGAGGAAGTCCAAGAAGAAGCTGTGCAGCGACGACGTGAAGCCCAAAACCAAAAAGAGCCGACCCACAGCCTCCTCCAGCAGCCCCAAGAAGACCAAACCAGGAAGCAAGTCCAAAGCCATCGTGATGGACTCCAGCAGCGACGAGGACGAGGAGAAGACAGGAGCTTCAGCAGAGGCTGAAGGATCGGATGGGGAGAAGAACCCCTCACTGAGGGAGGAGGAGGATCAGTCTGAGGAGGAGGAGGTGAGATCAAAGTGATTTATTCAACTTCACATGCTCTGCTGCTTTGTTGACAAACAAAAACAATCCTGGATGTTGAGTACGGAGGCCCAGAGGGGACAAAACAGGAGCCCATCCACCTGTTTACATTCAGATGAACGGGTTTGTTTCTAAACAGGAAGTAGAATCACAACAACTTCCTGTGAATGGGGCATTTAAGGCTCGTTCATTCTCCAAAACATTATTTTAACCCATTTATTTAGTCAGAAGCTGTTTGTTTGTTTGTTTGTTTAACTCAGATCTAACAAACATCAAAACACAACTTTACTGAAAACTTTTTCTTCTTTATGTCCTCTCTGGGCCTCCTTACTTCTCCTGAAACATTTAACAAAATAAAAGTCTTTTTCCCTAAAGAAAGGACTGATTTAAATCAAGATAAGACAAAGTTTTGTTTTTATTTTGTTTATTTCAAAATAAACTGGAGCAGCTGGTGGAGATTGAAACCAGTTCACACTTCTGTTCACATTAAACCAACATGTGAACCTGTTTCAGTCCTCCAAGCCCAAGTCCAGCACAGCAAAGACGAAGAAGAAGAACGCTCCGATAAAGAGGCCGCGCGCTCCAGTGAAGAAGGCGGGGCTTCTTAAGAGAGCCAAGATGGAGACTTCCGGAGAGTCTGATGGCAGCAGTGAAGCTGATGAGAAGGTACCACCACACGGTCCCTCTGGGGTAGAGCTGTCATTTTTCACCTGGAGCCCGGTCCTGTCCGACCAGGATTCGGACCGGGCCGGTCCATTATAATGTGCGGGCCGGGTCGGTGTCAGGCTTTTGACTGTCAGTGGACGCGCACGGCTGATGATTCATTATATGGCAACATGGCTTGCCATACAATGACCAGCCGCACGCGTCCATTTGACGGCGCGCTGACCGGCCTTGAAAAGGTCAAAAGTTCAGCTTCAGATGGAGCTACAGCCAGAGATCCATCATGGACGTTCTTTCAGCCGCTACACTCAGAGGACACGCGGCGGACGACCCCAACGGGTGGTCACAACATGTCAGAGCAGGGTCCGTGTCTGAATCATGCAGAGTGCAGGAGAAGCAGAGATCCAATGAGCTCTGACGGCCATGAAAGGACAAACACCTCCTCAGCTCAGATCTTCTGCCCCCTGTGTCCACCGACTGTTAATATAAGCAGTCAGAGCTTAATTAAAACTGTCCGGGGGTGGGGGGGTGTCAGGTTATGACCTGTAATTACTGTTAATTGGTCGGGTGGGGTTCGGAAATGATGGCAACTCTACTCTGGGGTTCCTCTGGGGTTCCTCTAACGTTCTAACAGGAAGTTTGTGTTTTACAGCCAAAGAAGAAGAAACTCGCTGCCAAAACCAAGAAGGCCGACAGCAGCAGCAACATCAAAAACACAAACACTGGTGAGCTCACCTGACCCGGGACCCTAAACCTGGACTCTGGACCCTGAACCTTAACCTAAATCTTGAAACTGTACCCTGATCTTGATCATAAAATCCTTATGGGTTCTGTACCAGAACTGTTTGTAGAACCCTCTCAGTTGGGGCAGGATCTACATGAACATAAATCAGTAAAGGTCTGCAAAGATTTGGAAAAGGTTGGTTTTAAACAGAGTCCTGGTCCTGGAGGTCCACCATCCTGCAGGGTTTAGACGTTCCTGCTCCAACACACCTCATCCAATGGTGGAATCATCTCCAAAGTCTGCAGAAGTCCAGTGATCACCCACTGATCCACATGAGGAGTGTTGGAACAGAGGAACCTCTAGAACATCCTGGATGGTGGCCCACCAGGACTGGACCCCCAATGTAGACAGACTGTCTCTGATGGTGTCTGTCTCTAATGAGAGTCTGTCTCTGATGGTGTCTCTGTCTCTTATGGTGTCTTTGTCTCTGATGGTGTCTCTGTCTCTGGTGGTGTCTGTCTCTGGTGGTGTCTCTGTCGCTGATGGTGTCTGTCTCTGGTGGTGTCTCTGGTGGTGTCTCTGTCTCTAATGAGAGTCTGTCTCTGATGGTGTCTCTGT